GTGTGGGTGTGGGTGTGGGTGTGTGTACTTACATCACTCATGTTGTGGGGGCATAAATGTGTTTACGCAGTCACATTGTTGATACGTGCTTCTCTTTCAGGAACAAAAAGCGAGTCTTCATAATGTAAATCAACCTATTTTAGACTGAAGTAGTGCTTATGGTTAAAGCCAGTCTTCAGAAATGAATAGAAGTCAATGTAATGTCCTCTGAAGTGATAGAAACACAGACATGCGTGCGTGTGTGTGTGTGTGTGTGTGTCTGTGTGTGTGTGTCTGTGTGTGTGTGTCTGTGTGTGTGTGCGCGCACGCGCGCTCCCTTGGCAGCAGTGACATCATCTGTCTGTGTGTTTGTCAGGGGGGTCGATGAGGCTGCACTTTCTGTCAAGGTCATTGTTCTTATGTTCAAATAACAGTTTGTACAAGTGGCCTGTGTTCCTGTATGTTTTTATGTCGGTCAAAAAAATTGCCCCTCGGAGAGAAATAAAATGCTGCTGAATAAAATTTAATAAACTAAATTGGAAACAGCTTTTACAGTCCATTTCATAATTAAGGGGCGTCTTTGAGTGAACGCCTCTCTCAGATGGAGCCTATTAATGATATATGATGACATGAATCTCACTGACACCCTGGGGGCAGCTAGGACACGGTAGCTCTAAAAGAAAGGGATGTAAGAAGAAACAGATCATTAAAGATATCTCTAAATAAAGGTGATGAAACATCATATATATTATTGATATTTACAGTGTTGCAAGACGATATTTTTTTGTCCCTTTCATCACACCCTGTCTGATAACTGATCTCATAAATGTATAAACAATAGACACAATACAAGCTGTGTGTCTTTTTCACCAGATCCTGTCAATAGGAGTCCTGGACATCTTTGGCTTTGAGGATTATGAGAACAACAGCTTTGAACAGTTCTGCATCAACTTTGCCAACGAACGACTCCAGCACTACTTCAACCAACACATCTTCAAATTGGAACAGGTAGAGTGGTATTGCTATGTCCTTATTCCTTTCCTTTCCTTTCCTTTCCTTTCCTCTCCTTTCCTCATCTTCTCTCCTCCAGACAATGGTCATTGTGCAGCTGCTGATAACACATCACTACACTGTTTGTTGAACTGTCACTGTGACAGTGTAAACAACACACAAACATTTACACATTATATGTAGTGATGTCAGTTTTTGCGTCACAGTATTGTCGAAGTTCCACATTTTTCAAAAATGCTTTTGGGTGTTTGATTAATTGGACTGATGGAGTCAGAATGGAACCTCCTAACTTCCTTTTCAAACAGAGAATGCTTGGAGTTGTGCTTCATACATTATGCTGGTGAAAGTCAATGGCTTCCTCGTGAGTGGAAAGCTCTGAATGTAGTACAGTAAGGTTTGAGGGTCCCATTCTGTGCCACTTTTCAGCAATTAATAAAAGTCTCACAAAACCTCAGACTATGTTCTGGTAGATTAATCGTAGCAACTGGACTTGCTTGAGTTCATTGAAGATGTTTCACCTCTCATCCAAGAGGCTTCATCAGTTCTGACTGACTATTTGGGAGATCCAGATACTTATAACCAAAGGAGCCATTAACACCTGAGTTTCGGTTTCAATTGGGGGTTTGTTACTCCTCCCCCTCGTTATGTGAGTCATTCGTGCTCCCCCTGCCACAAAGGGGTTCGTTAAGGTCTTTTGTGGCTGGGTGTGAATGTGGTTTCATTTTCCTGGGGAGAGATCTTAGGACTGAATTGTAAATCGGTGAGAGATGATGCCTCAGACCTCCACCTCTGCTGAGGGATGGTCTTTCCAGTTTGACATAGATGGCCTCTTTCATCCCTCTCTCAAACCATCTGTCCTCCCTGTCCAAAATCTGTACGTTGTTGTCTTTGAATGAGTGTCCTTTGTCCTTGAGATGCAGGTGGACTGCTGAGTCCTGTCCTGAGGAGGTGGCTCTTCTGTGCTGAGCCATGCGCTTGTGGAGCGATTGTTTTGTCCCCCCGATGTACAGGTCTGGGCATTCCTTGCTGCACTGGACTGTGTACACCATGTTGCTTTGTTTGTGTCTCTGTGTCTCGTCCTTAGGATGAACCAGTTTCTGTCTCAGGGTGTTGGTGGGCTTGAAATGAACTGGAATGTTGTGTTAGTTGAAGATCCTTCTGAGCTTCTCAGAAACTCCTGCCGTCTGACAGCAGAAACAGAAAAATATGTAAATGAAAATGGCTTTATCGGGAATTTGGCTCTATTGATATGCAATATATGTGAGTAAAGAGAGCAGGAGAGAAGCAAACAGATGTAAATACTCGCCAAGGTTACCTTGCACTGAAGCACAACAGACAGCATAAAAACATAATGACCCACCCAGTCCTTGTTTATTTGTTTCAAATGAAAGTTTCCTCTATCTTTGAATGTCCCTCGCCTTTACAGTTTCGATAGAGCTCTGACATGTGGCCATACGATCAAAACCATATGTCAGGGGGGTATTTAGAGATCAGAATTGATATCCCGATTCCAGCACAGCGAACGAATAGTTGGCTATTTGGCTATTTGGGTCCAGTCCTAGTATGAAAATCCACATTTTAAATACTCGGGTCATATTTGCGCTTTGCCATCTTGCATCCCAACATCAACACAAACTTAAAATGAACGTCAAACAAACTATGGTTACCGTGCCTGTCAAAATAAAAGTTTTTTTCAAAATAAAAAACAAGACTAGCCTGAGACACACATTGTATATTATTTATTTTTGACCAGCTGTCCGCTACCCACTTTTGGGTCGCGACCCACCAGTTGAGAACCACTGAACTAGAAAATCTTTCTTACTGGCATATAAAGCTTGGAGGCCAGGTAGTTGAGAGGATCGTAGAGTAACGGCAACAGTAAGCATCTTTATAGTTTCACAGCTTTTTATCAAAAAATCAAATCAAGTTTATTGTCATTTTGCTGTACATACCACAGTCGTACAATGATAATGAGAGAGCGTGTCTTCAGGATACAAAAGCTAAAAGCAATTAAATAAAGAAGTGTTTGCATATCTGGATCAGCAGTTCAGCATTCTGACAGCTTGAGGAATGAAGCTGTTGAAGCTGTTGATCAGTCTGGAGGTTCATTCCTTCAGTGCTGCGGAAACATTTGCCTGATGGCAGCAGTTCAAACAGTTTATGGAGAGGGTGTGAGGAGTCCCTGACAATGTTCAGTGTCCTGCTCCTGCAGCGGCTCTGGAAAAGGTCAGAGCAAGCTGCCTGTCTGTCTGCACGGATCAATGTCGTCTCTTCCAGCTGTATGGCCGTCTGGGATGTTGTCATGGAGCCATGTTTCTGTTAAAGCAAGCACACAGCAGTCTCTCCACTCTCTGTGGGCTTCTCTCAGCAAACGTAGCTTGTCCAGTTTGTTGTTGAGGGAGCGGACATTGGAGAGTAGGAGAGACGGTCCTGCTGGTCTGGAGGGGTTAGCCTTTACCCAAGCATGGATCTCGGCTCTCTTCCTCCTCCTTTGTTTACGTTTGTACCGCTTGCAATTCCTTTTCCCTCGGGTAACTGCAGGCGTGTTGGTGCAGTATGTCCAAATCACTACCGAGTGATGAAATGTTAGGAACGTTCATTGCCCTGATGTTCGGCAAAGTCTCTCAGCTGTACGTTTTGTGGAGTGAATGTCTAGGATAGACAAGACACTCAAAACTTTCACTCTCGCTGTCTCCTGAAGGGGCCGCTGCTTCCATGCGCACCACCATCTCCATGGAAACTATAATCTATAATAATTTGTTTTACACTTTCAAGTATTTAAGGTGCACAAAACACAATGAGAATGGATTTTCACCATATAGGACCTTCAGCACACTGTTAGAAAGGAGCTGCTATAAACTTGTTTTGATGGGTAGAATCGGTGCAGGTCCCTAAGTGGCAATGACAACATAAATACAAGTCTTACAACAATAATACAGGAGAGACGCAAGGAAAGAAAATTCAATTGGAGCTAAATAGGGTAACAGGAACTGCTTTGCTGTTAAGATGATGCACTACTGCTTGTTTCTGTTGGATTCTTTTGTATTTGAACTGACTTGACATTGTAACATAATGCCACCCAGTTCTTAAAAGCATTTGTTTGCCTTACAGTGCTAGCAGCAGAACGACAGAATGAATGTAAGAATTAAGGGTGCCTTCATGACTTCATTAGTAAAATGTGGTCATGAGAAGATTTCTAGCTTTTCATATGGTTTTCTGCCATAGATCATCAGTCTTTGTCATGGTCCACATATCCTCATGTGAGAGGGTTTTGTGCTGGGCAGCCACATCCCTGCTGACATTACAGGGCAGGCAGCTGTAATTATGTAGCTAGGTTAAGTTAGCAAGCACATCCATTAAAGCAAAAGGTCAGAGAAAAAAGTGCTGAATAACCAGATCAGGCTGACAGGCTGGGTTAGAGCGCAGCAGTCAGACAGCTAAGTGCTGTTACACTTTTTTAAGGTTATTAAACATCATTTTCTGACATGCTTTAGTTTGTTTACAATGCCTCAGTATGGCTGCAACCCTTTCTTTTTTATTTTGATTACAGCACTGCTTCAAACATCATTACGACACATTCAAGAGACGTCATCTCCAGCATCATAACTACCCTCTGTCTCACTCAAAAGGACTATTACTGAACCGCTAATCCCTGACCAGCTATATTATGTATTCATTATGCTCATTTACTCAGATACCAACTGCCAAACCACTTAATATTCTGTGTGCATGTTTCTTTCCAAAATCAAATTCATAGAGCAACCAAAGGAGCACTGAGAAGGAAGAAAGACAGAGACGGATATTTTAGGGGAGAAAATGAGTCTCAATCAACTTGACTGTGTCTCTGTAGCTGTTAGCACTCGTCTCCGTCTTGCTGAATGTCGGCTGATAGGTCATGGCAACTTAGCAGGCAGGCCCATCACTGGCGGCTAAATGAGCAGAGGAGAGTAGTGAAAAAGAGCAGTGTTTCAGTAAACAAGTGCAGTAGCATCCCTTCACTCTCAATGAAGATCACGACTGCCAATCAGAGTGCGCTAATGGCTCTGTTATCTGTTTCTGACTGTTATCCCTCAGGCTGCACACACATACAGGATGTAACAAGTACTAACAAACAGGTTTTGTTGCAGTACATGAAAAATTGACAACTAAGCATTTTGAGATCTAGATTGACGATATCTGTGCCACTGGAACAAACTGAAAATAAAGATATACATGTGCTTCATTAATGTTTAACCTTTATATAATTTTAACATGTATATATATATATATATATATATATATATACACACACGCACACACACATATACTCCCACTTATTAATGTTTGACTCAAAGTAATTGCATGTTTTTTTAATGAGGTAACACCTGACCTCTTTTGTCTTTGTTATTTGATATAAAATATGCTACAATCTAAAAGCTATGTCCATTTTACCATAAAATGTAAATATTACCATAACCCTCTGATCCCCGAGCTGTTTTTTTTTTTCTTTTTCTCACTGTAAGCTAATTTTTTACTGCAACATAAAGTTCTGCACCATTATGTAAGGGATAATGCCCGACGAGGTGTCCATTATCAGAAATTAATGGACGACGCGGAGGCGTCCATTAATTTCTGATAATGGACACCTCGAAGGGCATTATCCCGCTTATACCATGGTCACTTACGAAAGATATTACTAAATAAATATTAAATCAATTATTAATACGTTAATGTTGTTTTTTACCGTTAAAATCGTAAGTTTTCCACAACAAGCGGCTGAGCGGACTATTTCATGTCTCTCGTTGTGACGCGTTGCCAAGGTAACCGGTCGGCCGCAGCTGTTATTGCTGTCTTGCCGTTGTGATAAATAAACTGAAATAACGTATATTAACGTATGTTCTGAGTTTCTGTTGCCACGGTTACCAACTACCGTTTGAGTCAGCGCATTAATTTAGAACAATCAGGTTATTTGACCGGAACTTCTTTATAGGTGTCCTATATCACTTTTTAATGGACAC